AATGTACACGAATGTATAACGTAACACAATCATGCCGATTACATCATCTTTCCTTGCCGAATATAAAAATGTAGCACGTGCATTCTTGTGAATTACAGTCTATTAACACTGTCACAGCAGGAACACATATAATTACCGTATCTCTAAAACTTGAACTAATATTGAAAAAATAAGTTTCATTCCGGTTTTAGCACATTAAAAATAGTAATATTTTGTTGATTTTATTTAGGATATTTTTTGGCTGTTGATCAGTGTTATTAGCACACAAATCCTCACTATGCACCCATACACTGCTGTTTCCTTCCACTAATTGTATACAACTTACAGCTTGAACCTCCTCTCTGAAGCATAAGATACATCACATCAGAGCCAAACATTGATAGCTGAAGCATCATGACGCTTAGGCAACTCGTACAGATACAAAACAAGTCCATAACAAGTGTACAATAGCTAGTACATCTTGTTGAAAAACCTACGTCATGACCCAAAAAACTTATAAAATGTCAAAAACCCGACAAAATGCCACTTTTCAACATAGGTAATACCCTTATATCGGAGTCAGAGAAACTTTACATCGTGAATATAAATTGTGTCATAAACTAAAATATGAACCCTGTTTCATTTTTCAACATAGCTACCATAAACACTTGTCAAGTCGTGATATGAGTTTTTGGATCAAGGAATCAAAGAACTTTGTCTGGCCCTTAAACAACTTCTTTCAAGATGTCATCATTTTCCAAGCGCTTTCCATCAAATAATTCCGTAAGTTTTGGAAAAAGACGAAAGTCTGGTGGTGACTAGTCGAGGCTGTGTGGTGGATGATTCAGTAATTCCCAATGAAACTTCTCCAGTAGCGTCAGTATTTTTACCACAACGCGTGGACGGCAGACGGTACTGAAAGACGCGTCTAATTCAACAAGCTGCTGGCAAATTTTAGCAGGAGGAACTTTTTTGTGTTCAAAAACCGGTCTACTGAACGCACTTCATTATCAGCGGTTTCACTAATTGACATGACGACAAACAAAGCAAAGCACAAGAGTGTCTGAGGTTGAACGGACGTCGCGTGACAGGACGCGCGGACACTATGCACAATCTTTATGGATAGATATCCTGAATGTGCTAAAGTGCAGGAGGACTAGACAAAGTTAGTGTGAACATTTCTGTTGATTTTCAAGTCGGTAAAGGCAGAAACCACCCTCAAAACCCAATCCAGTATCCCCAAACTGGCCCCACAATCATCAATTCTAGTAGCGCGCAGGCAATATTGCTTGAATGGCGTTGTACATTTGTAAACGTCCCCTTATTTTCCGTCGGACAATAGTGGCCTTCTGGTTCTTGCGACCCTTTTCCGGGGACTCCGGGTAGTCCGGGCCTCCGCAAAAAGTTATCGTCTGGACCGCAGGACGGACCAAGCGGCCTATCGCTCAGACCGATCTGCAGGCTTTGTCGAGAATGGGGTGTTTTTGCTCTATCTGGCAGTGGACAGACAATGTAGAACTTTGGGCAGTGACGGATGCGAAATAGGAGCATTTAACGTAGTCTTTTTTACGAGTATCCATTACGGTAAGATAACAGCTAATTATTTAGTAATATTTCAAAACTACCCATATTAAGAAGTGATACACAATTCTAATCCATCTGTAAACGCCAAGAGCCGTTTTTTTTACGCTACGGATTTATTTTGTACTTACTAACAACTCTTTTACTTAGAAAAAATGGCCGATAATGGTCATGACTACATCTCAAGTCAGATAGGAATGAAATATGATTTTAAAGCGCAATGATACGGTCATATTTGAATTATATTAAACTGATGACGGATAACTAAGCAGAAACACGTCTCTATATTATTGTTACATCTAAAATTACAGCTACTGGAAATCCCAGATGTACTATAATAATTTTCTAATAAAATTTTTCTATGTGTAATATTTTTTATTGTGAAAATTCCCAAACACTTAAAGTATCTAGATATGTGAACAACAGCTCTGAATACAGTCCTGAAGTTTCACCAAACTTACACCCGATTCATTACTGTCAACGTTACAGACTAATACAAAGATGTCGCTAACTGATCAGCTGTTCGCCTCAGTAGACGTCAAAACTTAATTGTTACTCATTGAACTGGGTTTAAAGTGGACATCGAAAAATATTGAAGATCTAAAATTCGCTTATAATTTGTATTTTTACAACTTAAAAGGAAACACGTTTTTTATCTTATTAGGTTTATTCTCTAAGTTATGGGCTTAGACATCGCAACTAAAGTTGTAATTTTCTCGAATTGAAAACGTTTTATACAGGGTGGCGCGTCGAAAACGAAACAGACTCATTTACTGGCAGCTCAGTTTTTTTTTTGAAAAACGCTCAGACCCGTCGATTTTGTTTTCGAGGAGGACACAAGTTTGGTAAAAAATCACGTTAGCACGAGCAGCCCCCTAAGCGGGGGTGACACCACCCCCAAAATCTTAAAATTAAAAATTTCAGAATGATTGCACTGCTTTAAAGCCCTTTGACCTTTAATAATGTGTGGATGCACCCTGATGTGCTACGCATTCTCCAACGCGCCTAGGCATCCTTCTGATCAGGTGGTCAATGTCCTCCTGTGGTATCTCATTCCATTCAACCACCAACTCCTCTCGAAGTGCTTCTAGAGTCTGAGGAGGAGGTTGCAAATTGAGCAATCTCCTACCCATCATATCCCACACGTGCTCAATTGGGGATAAGTCGGGAGATCTTGGTGGCCATGGTAACAATGTGACATCATTATGTTGAAAGAAGTCTATTGTGACTCCTGCAACGTGTGGTCGGGCATTACCTTGTTGGAAAGTTGGATCCGCCAGGGTGTCAATATAGGGTAAAAGATGGGGTTCTAGAACTTCGTGGATATAACGCTACGCGTTCATGTTACCTCTGATGAAGATTAAAGGTGACCTGGAACCATAAGCTATAGCACCCCTAACCATAACTCCAACAGTGTGATGAACATGTCTTTCAACAAAAAACTGTGGATTCATCCTTTCACCACGTCGCCTTCTAACCCTGGCACGACCATCGTGCATGCCTAAACAAAGTCGAGACTCGTCACTAAAGACAATACTGTTCCATTCCTGATCCCAGAGTGACCGTTGTCTGCACCACTCAAGGCGATTACGTCGGTGTTCTCGAGTTAAAGGGATTACCCAGTGTGGCCGGTATGAAAACAAGCCAAAACTTCTCATTCGTCGGTAAACACTTCGCATGCCAATAGGTCTTCCGTGTTCTGCAAACCATTCATTTGCAATGGACCTGGTAGTGGAGAAACGGTCCCTTAAGGCCAATAATCTTAGGCGGCGATCTTCACGGTCTATTGTTCTACGGCCGCGTCCAGTGCCCCTTGCTCTTTGCGTACGGTCTCCGTACTCTAGGCATCGTAACCGATCGTAAAGGATGTCAAGAACCAAAATCCGCCAACGTTGATTCTTTACTGCGGCTGAAATATTCATTTTTAGAGCGTTAGTGAATTAAAAAAAAGCAGTATAAAAACCGGAATGTCCAACTGATAAGGCTGAAAATTTTTTCACTTGTTATTTACAGTAAGATAAATACATTCAAAAACTTTTATTAAAATAAAACCATTTAAACTGGGTGTTCGGATTTATATGTCACTTAGTATATGTCAAAAACAACGAACCAACCATGATTCCGTTGTTAGCATTGCGTTATCGTGTTGAGATTGTGTTAGTCATAACCATAACTCTTCCCTGAAATAATATAAAAATTCTGCCAACTGGCGTCTACCAACAAGCGCAATATGTGGCTGTACTCTACATGGGGTGAGGGGCCAGAACCAGCGATTGGCTCTCTATGGAGGGTCTCAGCCGGACATTCGCCCTCTCTCCGCTGCCACCCCCCGCAAGGCCATTGTGTCGATTACCTGCCCTTGTTGCCGACGGACGACCCTACTGCAAAAATATAAAATGGACTCCGTATGGTCGGGTGGGTATTGGAATCAGCGATCGATAGTGGTGATACAAATGTCTTTTGTTTTTTTGATGATAGCTGCATACTGCCGTCATAAGCCAGAAGATAGTATCTGCTAATTTCACATTTTACGGGAGCGATGAGAATGTGTTGTAATCCTTCTGAGATTGTAACGTTTTAAGGGAGAAGCAAGCTTTTAGTTAAAATTGATATTTTCTAGCGAATTCATCAATTTTACCTAGAATGCCTGTTTATAAATAAAAAAGCATATACTGTTACCTCACAATTGTCTGAACCACTGTTTTATTAATTAATAACACAGTATCTTCTAAATGTCCTTTTATTGTTTATCTATGTACCATAATGTTTTTCAAGAATTTCAGTTGTCATATACGAGTACATTCATAAATCATTTTTGTAATTTATGCATTGTCTAACTTTACATTTTTTTGTGACATGTCCTATACTTTGTATGATCCAGTGGCGGCTCGTGGCAAAATAAAACAGGTGTTCCGCAAATCCGAACTTACCTATTTTTTATATGTCAGTTCGATCCTGCGCTCCTTCTTGGCAGCAAATTTGTCGATCACCTTCCCGTTGAAATTCTTCATGGTCGAAATAAATTCCTTTTCAATGGACAGCATCGACAACGTTGTAAGGCGATCCTGGGTATTACGAAGAAAAGTCTTGATTCCTTTCAATGTTGAGAAATTTCGCTCAGCCTCTGATGTTGACCTAGGAGTTGTAACAATAATTTCTAATAGCTTTTTTGTTTCTTTTAGTATTTCCTCCAAACTATTTTGTATCAAAAATTCCAAAAGAGACAAAGTTCCATGTAAATCTCATCAAAAATAACAGGCAACTCTGTCTTTAACGACTCTTTTCTAATTCGGGATAAGCCAAGCAGGTAGTTTCCAACTTGCCATCAGGAAACTTACCACAGTCTTCTCCAAAGTGTTCGGGGAAAAAAAGGGATGCGGCTACCAGATGATCTTTAAATTGAAATCTGTCATTTGCAGAATTCACTATATTCATGTCATGTCATCAATTTTATTTCTCACATCGACAATACATTTTTCACAATTATCGATAGCCGTTTTAACTTGCGCTGGCTCGGTTTTTCTCTTCTGCAACTGGTTGAACAAGATGTCGACGTGAGGCATGACATGATGAAAAAATGTCAACCAAAACACGAAAACAGAATCATTTAAGATACGGCGAATACCGTAAGCTGCTTTGCAAACGGTTTCATTAGTGAAACTTTCTTCTATTTCTTCCATGCATTCAATGAGCGATTCTCTGTTCTCAAACACTACATTTGTTGTTCGAATATTAAGATTCCAACGAGTTGTTGCTCCTTGGAGAATTTTTTCCTCAAAATTCTGTACAATACCTCTACGCGTTGAGGAGAATTATTAAAAAATCCCGGAATATTTTTCAAATCCCCAAAGAACACCCGAACTTGAGCATTTTCGGAAGCAGCTTGGGACATAATCAGGTTTAACTGATGCTCATAGCAATGCACATAGTGAGTAAATGGATATCTTTGTTTAATTTTTGCCTGTACTCCAGCATTATGTCCGCTCATTACCGCAGCTAGATCATAGCTTTGTGAAACCAGTTTGTTAGGGAAATTTCCTATTAATGGATCTACGACGCTCAAAATATGTCTTGTGAGAGTATCAGCGTCACATTTTTCGGGATTCATATAACTTCAAAAACGTTCTACTGGTTCGCCGTTATATACGTACCTGAAAATTGTTACCAGTTGGGTTTTCTCCGAAATGTCCGTTGTTTGATCTTCTATTATCGCCAAATACAAGGCTCTGTTAATCTGTTTTATTATTTCTTCATGACGAACTTCAAGAATACAATCCAGTAGATCGTTTTGTATTTCTTTCGAAGTTCCTTAAAATATTGAAGAATTTTTTATATGTTCGCCTAAGGTTGTATCAAGCTCAGCAGAAAAATTAATCAGTCCACGAAATATTCCCGGGTTTTGGGAGCTCTCGGATTCGTCCTGCCCCGCAGCGCCAATTCAAAATTTTATACGGAGCACCGACCCACCAATCAGGTATCGTACTTCGCATTAGATCTGTACGCATCTGTATAACGTGCAGCACATGCTTATGCTTAAATGGCGCATTTGATTTTGTAGAGAGAGATAAAAGCAAGCGCGTGCGGCTTGTATCGAAGTAGTGCACAGACCCTTTTCAAGTGGCCCATGAATAATGTTACGCTGCGGTCGCGACGAAAATGACAAGTACACAATTGGTCGATTATATTGCGTTTTCAATACGAATCAGACTCGACACTGTGTCTTGCGGGGGCAGCGTTGCCGGTATTGTTTCTATTTGTGTGATAACATGGAAAATAAATAATGATCAAATTACTACTGCTTTTTTCTGAAAAGACAAAAGTTTTGGCAGCTCTGCAGCTCAGCCGCCCCTGTCAAATTACCTCATTATCTTCGTTTTTAAAGGAAAAACCAATAAACGTATGTCTTGTTCATCTAGAGATATCCGCTCCCGTGCCTATCAACAGAACTTCCATAAAGGCTTCATCTTTAATCCGATCTATCTTAATAATTAATTACCCCCTGAAATTGAATCTTTGACATTTCATAACTTTAGAAGACATATCAAGAATCTGCCTTTAGAGTGCCAAAATTAAAAATACTTATATTTCACTTCTGCTTATAAAAATAGTATTTATTCAGTTATGAGTGCAATTACATTAAATATGTATAATACTTCTGTTATATTAAGAGTCTTATTGTCATTTATCCAGTTTGTATTTATTTTGTATGGGTTAATTGGAGGAATAGCTTAAGCTAAACTTCACCCAAAGAAAAAGACTTTTATTATTATCATTATTATTATTATTTACTGAGTCACATCCAGTCATATATGGATAAGTACAACAAACCAAAGGGTAACCGGAAAAAAGTAGTTTTCACGACTGTCCTTGAGCATTTGATTCCGACCTTGGGAATGAACCTGAAAAGGTTCACCAGACCTAAAATTATCCTCTCTTACTACTCATCTACACCTTCGATCTATATGCAGTAATGGAAAATTCTGAAATGCAATCTTTTGCAGACGATACCCAATTAGTACATTATTTTAAAGCTAGTGAATTACCTACAGCTAATATAGAGCTACAACATGATATTGACATGGTTTGTAAATATTCAGCCAATCATAATTTATTAGTTAATCCTGAGAAGTCAAAAATCATAGTTTTCTGTTCTGATAATAAAAGAAACTACGTCAAAGGTAACCTTAATATCTTTATTGACAGAAATCTTCTTCAGGTTGGTACTACTGCCAAGATTTTAGGTGTCGAGGTCGATGAGAAGTTAAGGGTTTATAATCATATCAACTGTCTTGCTCAAAAAACCTACCTCCGCCTACGCACTTTGTACTCTTGTAGGTACTTACTGAACTACAAGCTCAGGAAAAAACTGTGTGAAACGCTAGTGATGTCTTGTTTGAACTACTGTAACATCCTTTATTTCCCATGCCGTGATAAAATAACGAAAAATAGAATTCAAATTATACAGAATAATTGTAACCGTTTTATATGTGGATTGGGAAAATTTGACCATGTATCACAGAAATACAGGACGCTGAAATGACTCAAATTTGACAAATTGGTCGAATATCACCATCTAGTATTTATTCACAAAGTAATAGCCACTTCAAAGCCCGCCTACTTGAGAGAAAAAAGTCTATTTAACTTTGTTGTTCATGATCGGTTGCTTAGAGATAGGTTGAGTATCAGAATTCCGCCTCACTCTACAGTCTTATTCACCCGCAGTTTTTCTTATAATTCGGCAGTTCTATATAATTCGTTGGAATATTCCTTTAAATGTATGAGCTTAGCAAGTTTTCGTAAGCATGTAAGGATCAGGCTGCTTGACTGATACTATCCTTTCCACATTCATCATCCAATCAGACTTTATATTTATTACGTTGAGAAGCTAATATTATTTTTAGGCGCATGATATATATGTATATATAGGTATGTGTATATGTGTGTATATATATATATATATGTCTGTATAGGTGAAAAATTAAAGCTTCCGCCTTTTGTTGGGTACTTCGACAAGATTTAAGCAAAGAGGACTCTTTATACTTTTTTTAATTCTCTCTAGCTTTCAATGGACTTTGCCATCATCATCAGGAGCTGCAATTACAATGATAACAGTAGCAACAAAGGTGTAAAATGAATTTAAATTGACTCAACTTACAGTAGTATGTGAGGATGTTGCTAATTGTTGTTTACGTATAGGATGAGGGAAACGTCCAGTAACATGGTGAGAGCTGAATAGATTGCACAATAGTCAAAATTTATACAAAACATGACAAGAACAAGTTAAAAACAGATTAAAAATTATTTAAAAAATTTTAAACATTACATCGTGAAACCACCTGATGATTGCACAAATTAGTGGTCATGGAATGATGAATTGATGAGTGACATGAAACCCTTTGACAGAAGGCCGAAGGATGTCAATGTCAGTATTGAAAGATGGAACGAATTGTGGGCGTGTGCCAAAACGTTGCCAAATCACTTCAGATGATGAGATTTTTAGAATTTTATGTTAGAATTTGTTAAACCGACCAGAGGCAGTTGAATAAACTATATTATTATTAATGGGAATTTAAATTAACAATTATTAATAAATCGTGAGGAGAGAATTATTATATTTTGAGTGGAATGAATTTTACTGGTGGAAACGGCCAAAACACAGATTCTAATTATGGTTGTGAAGAGTTGAAATTTGGGGAGATATGTAAGTTCTCCAATTTTTCGCAGTTTAGCAAATATGAGTAAATGACACTCAGTTGTTTAACATCTGTCTTTTTGTTGATACAGTTGTTATTCATGAAAATGTGGGACATTTCCAGGAATAAACGTTTGGAAAGGTGTTTTTCTTTATCAAGAACTTTGATACTTGTGTAATTCATAGAATGCCCTGTTGTGTTAACATGAGATGCTAGAGCGCATCTTTCAGGATGTAGCCTAGCATCACTTTTGTGTGATGTAATCCTTCCTTTAAGAGATCTGGAGGTCTGACCTATGTATATTTGGTTGCAGTTGTTGCAATTGATGGAGTAGACTGTGTTGGTTAAGCCAAACAGCGGGACTTTAATAATTCTCTCCTCACGATTTATTAATAATTGTTAATTTAAATTCCCATTAATAATAATATAGTTTATTCAACTGCCTCTGGTCGGTTTAACAAATTCTAACATAAAATTCTAAAAATCTCATCATCTGAAGTGATTTGGCAACGTTTTGGCACACGCCCACAATTCGTTCCATCTTTCAATACTGACATTGACATCCTTCGGCCTTCTGTCAAAGGGTTTCATGTCACTCATCAATTCATCATTCCATGACCACTAATTTGTGCAATCATCAGGTGGTTTCACGATGTAATGTTTAAAATTTTTTAAATAATTTTTAATCTGTTTTTAACTTGTTCTTGTCATGTTTTGTATAAATTTTGACTATTGTGCAATCTATTCAGCTCTCACCATGTTACTGGACGTTTCCCTCATCCTATACGTAAACAACAATTAGCAACATCCTCACATACTACTGTAAGTTGAGTCAATTTAAATTCATTTTACACCTTTGTTGCTACTGTTATCATTGTAATTGCAGCTCCTGATGATGATGGCAAAGTCCATTGAAAGCTAGAGAGAATTAAAAAAAGTATAAAGAGTCCTCTTTGCTTAAATCTTGTCGAAGTACCCAACAAAAGGCGGAAGCTTTAATTTTTTCACCTAACTGGTCTAGACGACAATGACCACGTCTCAAGTTATGTCTGTATATATATATATATATATATATATATATATATATATATGTATGTATATGTAACATTCTGAAAATCACATCATCTGAAGTGATTTGGCAACGTTGGCACACGCCCACAATTCGTTCCATCTTTCAACACAGACATTGACAACCTTCGGCCTTCTGTCAAAGGGTTCATCTCACTCATTATTCCATGACCACCATTTTGTGCAATCATCAAGTGGCTTCACGATGTAATGCTTTAATGTTTTTAAATAATTTGTAATCTGTTTTTAACTTGTTCTTGTCATATTTTATATAATTTTGACCATTGTACCATCTATCCAGCTCTCACCATGTTACTGGACGTTTCCCTCATCCTATACGTAAACAACAATTAGCAACATCCTCACATACTACTGTAAGTTGAGTCAATTTAAATTCATTTTACACTTTTGTTGCTACTGTTAACATTGTAATTGCAGCTCCTGATGATGATGGCAAATTCCATTGAAAGCTAGAGAGAATTAAAAAAGTATAAAGAGACCTCTTTGCTTAAATTTTGTCGAAGTACCCAACAAAAGGCGGAAGCTTTAATTTTTCACCTAACTGGTCTAGACGACAATGACCACGTCTCAAGTTATATGTACATATATATGTTTTTAATTTATTTAACATCACTGCATTTATTGATTCAGCTGGTTATGTGTAAGAGTAGCATTGCTAAACTTCGCCAGATGAGTCCCACTTTCAGTATGTACCATGTACATATTTTTTTGTAATAAAGGCGTATCTTATTATTATTATATTATTATTATTTTTTATGTAAATTCA